CCTCTTTTAGAGCCAGTTTAATTTTTAAGAAAAGCCTAAACCATGCAATGAACATGCACACTAGGAGAGGTCTCATTTAAAGTTATTGTTTATAAACTTTCCAGAGTTGCTTAGATGAGATGGATAGTGTAGAAATTAAATACTTCTCAAAAATTACAGTTACAATTTGTTGATTTGTGCTAGTCACTGTGATAGTAGATCTATCTTAAGACTTTTGCATTGGTTACTAATGGGTTTCCAAGTGCAATTCAATGGCTTCATCTGAGTAATGTAGCTTTATATGGCTTGGCGGGCTGGAACTACCGTTAGAAAGCCCACCAAAGGTGTTAATTGGGGATTGTGATTTATGACACATAAATTGTAACCTTTTGGGAGGGTAACTTTCAGTCTTGGTTTCACCTTTGATCAAGCTGACATTATGTAGCCGTTAAAATTGTTCTTTGAGGAAATCAATTGCTTCAGAGTTCTTATTTCTACTGGTCTCATTTATCGAACCATGATATCCCAGAATTGGATATTCCACTCAGTTACCAGTAACTTGCTTTTTCTTTATCAAGCGAGATACAAATATAGATTCAGGTGGCAATGAGGTATATTTAAAGGATGGTTATCTAGTTACAATCAATTAACTACCTCAGTCCTTAATACTGTAGTGTAGGGTTGCTAGTTTGTTTGTAATGGAGTATATGCAGCTCTTTAGCAACTGAGACAGTTGTAGTTTTGTTGAGATATTGTAGATAATAATATGATATATAATAATAATAAGATGGCAGGGCTTGTATCTTACATTCAAGTTGTAGGATATCAACAGTATGATTTCTTTTAAAGGAAATTAAGGAAAATGTTTGCTATTTCAATAAATATAACTGTGTAAGTTGATAAACCCATAATTCTTGATAAGAATGTTTTGACAGTAGATCTGGAAGGTCTAATATATGATGCTTAACTAGTTTCCCTTGGAATAGTAAATCATGTTTTGGCTAAAACTCTTTTGACAACTAATATCTGTAATAATAAATAGCATTTTGAGCAGTGAATCTTTAGTTAGATGTTGTGTTCTGGTTTAGCTTATAGTAAAGCATAATTATGTTATAGCCATCCATATTTTTTGATTTTGTTTTATTCATGCCTCCAATTTACCAACATTTAGTAAGTATTAATTTTGAATTGAAACCGTCCTCCACTGGTATTAATCAAATATAATGCAGTTCTAGGAGACAGACCTCAAAAGTAGGCTTTCTTGGTGGCAAACCTGTCTCTTTGGAACACACAGCATCATGCGCTCCAGATAGCCCTTCTCTCCTGATCTTTTGGAATCATGTTCCATGAAGCACGTGAAGCATGTTGTATGAAGCTCTAGCCTACATTTAACTTGCTGTTATAAAATTCTATTGTTACTAGTTTCAAATTTTCATTTTGATGCCAGTTGTTTTATAAATTTTAATTTCTGGGATTTAAACATTTGTAAAAAATATTTCTTTTCCCACATTTTGATAGCCACCTAGGCTCTATAGATGTGGATGGGTTAACGGTCTAGGACAGTGATGGCAAACCTTTTAGAGACTGAGTGCCCAAAAAATGGCCCCACCCCTGCTCCACCCCCTGCCCGCAGGGCCACTCACCATCTCCAGGACCCACCACAAATCGCCCAGATGCGCCATGGTGGCCACGCCCTCTGCCTGTGCCCCGCAGCATCAACTGATGCTGAGTCTCGTCTATGCTGTCGGGCTGCCATGTCCTTGGTTACACTGCTCTGAGTGGGCCACACTCGAGGGTGACTCTGGTAGCTGATTTGACAAAGTTATTTCACAGCATGAGATTTTCACCCAGTATTTACTCTTAGCTGTCTCCCAGGCAAGGGAAGTTTTAAGCAGAGAGTCTTGGACATCAGTGCCCAAACTGACATGGTTTTATTGGTTAAAAAGAAATTTTATATTTGTTGGCTAAAAAAAAACTATTTTACAATTTGAAAAATATTTGTCAGTGTGCTTAACACAAATCTTAAGAAGGGCTTATGCTAGAGCAGATATGTCAAAGTTGCGATGTCACGTGACGTTGCGTAACGTATTGGGAGAGTTTTGCCATTGCTAGCAATAGGGTGGGTGTGGCTTCCACATGATGTGTCCAGCCCGTGGGCATGCTTCTTTTAACCATAGATATTTATAATACTTCAAAGGACAGATAACAGCAAATACACAGAAAACAAATTGAGGGAGATGGGTGGTTTCTAAATTTGATAAATAAAATTAAATAAATAAAACCCCTACTTGAAAGAGCAGCAGCCCACTGGGATCTGAACTGCAGATAGTCCTGTTTCCTCCAGGGCTCTAATGTATACATAGTGAGCAGAACTGTTAAGTTTATACTTAAGACAGTTCAGCTAAGAACTCATTATATAGAACAGATCAAGACATCATGTAAAAATGTTATATTTATCTGAATTTTGTATTTACCACATGTCTATTTTATTACTGTATTTTTTGTATCTATTTTACTCTGGAGTTAGATCCTGTACGGTATCTAAATTTTTATATAGTAGTAAGACTAATCAATTAATAAAAATAAATAAAGAAAAAGAAATAGGAAATAAATAAGTTCCATCCTGATAGCATAGGATAATATTATTAACTGGGTACTTTTGTTTGACATAATGTTATAAGTTGTAAAATTATGAGGTCATTAAGAGTTGATACTGTCTCTGACTCAGTATGACTTGTTTTCTTGCGTTGCCTCTTGTACAAGTCCCTTGTATTGCATTGTTTCTGTTTAAGAGGAAGCAGTGTTACAACTCAGACAGTCTAATTTGAACACCAGAATTCTAGAGTGAGAGTTTAATGGATTTTAAAAAAATGTGGAACAGTTTCACATTTTTTCTTCACATACCTGAACAAAAGCTCATGAACACATTTTTCAAATTGCAGCAAAAAGACAGCCCACTAACTATTTTTGGAAGATGTGTTCTCATGAGGAAGCTTAAATTTGTCCTCAGTTGTTGTACTTTTAAAATAATGTCTTTTGTTGTCTTCTGGCAGACAAATAGTTTGCAATGCCTCATTCATGATCTTGATGATGAAGCTGTGAAGGGTTGGTTCCGTACAGGGGAGTATGATCCAGTCAAAACTAACGATGCTTCTTTCTATGGAACCGGATGGCTTTGAACCTAAGCCCACTCCCATCTTGCTGGGATTAAGCTTTTCTTCTTCAGACCCTAAGTCTCCAGACACTGCGACAGCACCTCAGCGGGAATCATCTTTTTTCCCTGAGATTGAAATGTAAAACTGGGTAACACCAGCAAACTGTGGATTCTTGACTGTTGATGATTTGCCCAGCAGCTTCATGCAGTCGTCGAATAGGAACAAAGAGAATGTTGAGAATTCATTACTGTTCTGATCCAGCCTCTGGTCACCTCCCTGTGTAATATCTGACTCATTTTTTGCAAAGCACACCAGGTGTCTGGAAAATCACTAAGCGTGTTATTAATCACATCTTTACTTTCAAAAGTTCAATAGACCTACCTGTAAAAGCACAGGGCTGCAAATTGATTTAAACCGTGAGAGTTGCTCTTATGGTTTTGTCCCAAGGGACGGCAGTAAAGTTTTAATGCTCTTTTATGACTGGTTTTGCCTGACATTTGCCTTTGAATGTTTTCAATACTTTGAAAAGGGAGATACTGATATTTTTTCTGCTTCAGTACTATCAGGCCTATATATTTCAACATGCTGCTATCCACCACCAATATAGATAGTCCTTGACTTATGATCTCAACTGGAACTGGAATTTCAGTCATTAAGCGATGCAAATGTTAAGCAGGTCATCGTGTGACTGGATGTCATTTTATGACCCATTTTTACCATGGCATTAAGCAAATCACCACTGTTGTTTAGAGAATCATGCAGTCATTAAGTGAATCAGGCTTCCCCAGTTAACTTTGCTTGTCAGAAGTCATCCCAGAAGGTCACAAATTGCGATCATGTGATGCTGCAAGTTGTGGCAACCCTTGTACATGCAAACTGGTTACCAAGCATCCAAAATGAGACCACATGACTGCAGGGATGGTTACTTTTTCCAAAGCAATCATAACTGAACCATTGTCAAAGGAAGAAAAACTATCTGTAACTGCCAGCACTGCCATTTACTGCAGCAGAAGCTCCTGAAATTGACAGGAGTTCTGTAATTTTCCCCTTCTTTCCAAGTGGCAGAAGAACACTAGGCCACCTCAGTCCCCTTCAGAAACCACTATTAATCACTCAGCCACCCATGACTTGCACTCATCCAAGGCCACCCTCACCACACTTTATTGAGACTTGTTGGGTGGTGATTTTTCTGATGGCAGCAAACACTGGGTTGGAGAAAAAGCAAAGCCAAGGGATTAAGCCCAAACCACCTTTAAGTTGTAAGATTGATGTAGCAATCTGGTGTAGTGGTTAAGACAGAATGTCAAACTCGCGACGTCACGTGATGTCGTGCAACTTATTGGGACAGTTTTGCCATTGCCGGCAACGGGGTGGGTGTGGCTTCCGGATGACGCATCCGGCTTGCGGGCCAGCAGTTTGACACCCCCCCCGGGTTAAGACATCAGGATAGAAAGTAGGAGACCATAAGTTCTAGTCTTGCCTCAGGTGCAAAGCCAGCTGGATGACTTTGGACCAGTCATTTTCTCTCAACCCTAGGAAGGACACAGTGGCAACTGCTGTTCCTCTTTGAAATTATTTGCTCACTCTCTTATGTTTCTCTGTTAGTGTTGTTCTTAATATCTTATATCACATCATTATTCCCAGAAGCAAAGGATACAAAATACTTCGGTTACTCTTTTGTTAAATTACCAGCACAGTTATTTATTCAGTTTGTTACTGGAAATCAGAGTGTGGTGTTTTTTTTTTTTTTGTTGTTGTTGTTTTTTTGCTTAGATCCTGAAATTGTAGAAAAAGGAAGGAATTAGAAATCAAATTCAGAAGAACATATTCTGTTAACATGAATTAACATGTCGTTGTTGTTTTCAGGAATTAAATACTATCTATTACTATCTTCATGGAATGGATATATTATCTCATCTCAGGGAGCATCAGTTAAGGTAAGGGTGGCTAATCAATGAAAATGGAATGTCTAAATATACTACTACAGTGTCCAATTTATAGTTAGGTTTGCATAGCATAAAATAGATACTTTTATGTGCAGCATAACTTATTTTAATGGTTACTTTTAAAATAATATCTCAAGGCAAGAGAAAAAAACAAATATTACACAATGCAAACATGTATTATATACACTTTTTTCAGTTTGGGGGAATTTTCCAAATCATGGAATATAACAAGCAGTAAACGACAGAGAAAATTGCAATTAAAAACAAACAAAATAAAAAATCCCTCCTCCCAGTTCTGTAATAAATCATCTGAGGCTGATTCTGGAATCAATGGGGCTTATTTCTGGACAAATTATAATGTACTGCAAGCCTCACTGAAAAGATAGAACTTTTGTATTTGCCTTTTTTGAGGAATAGTTATAATTCTTTAGGTATAAAATAAATCTCTCTTCTAAATGAGATTTTTTGTAGAAACTGAAAGAAACATTAAGAAACTGAAATATTACAAAATTCGATATAGAAATGATTATTTTAAATCCATTGGAAATTCTAAACATTGAATTTCTTTTAGGGGGACTAGAAGTACAGTAGATTTCTACCTGAATTTTCTAATCCTTTTCCAACTTGGCTTTTGTATGTACAGATTATTTGTATAACAATTGAGATTTTCAGTGAATTGTTTACAATTATCCCTAGCAAGATGTGAATGTTATGTGATGATGCCTAAATTTTTGTTCTCAGAATTATGACTTCCAGTGCACGGTACAAAAGATATGATGGAAATCAAGTTTTATTTTGGTAAGTGCATTTATTCATTACCTGGAATGAAAATGTAAGGCATAACATATGACTTATATCAGAAGAGTCATGCCTACATCTGTGTAATGCATGTACATTTTATTATCCAAATAATAGATCCAAAGAAATTAGACTATCCATAAACTTAAATTTATAATTGACATCCAAAATCTGGGACAGAACTCACGTGCTTCACAGATTTTATCATTCATTCAGGATTCAAGAGCCTTTCCTCTGCATGCATACCTTTGGACAGATAACATAGTGAATAAGAAAATAAGATAATTGAAAAGCTTTAATTGGGAGTTCTGGTGATAACAAGCACTTTATGTATATTTCTTTATTTTTTTTTTAGCTCTGATACTATTGCAAGATGCTGGTATATTCTTCTTTCTGGATCTGTGCTTATGAAGGATTCTATGTTTTTGCCACCCTGCAGGTATGTAAGAAATCAGTGTTTCTTTATGACAAGGAAAAATAAGTAACCTTGATACCCAGTTAAATACACATAAAATATGGTGAGAAAAATAAGTTTGTACACTTAATCTATTTTTTAAAATTCTAGGGCAACATCACATGATGCGACGTATCACGACTTTTTTTCCATTGCTGGCAATGGGGTGGGCGTGGTTTCAGCATGATGCATCTGGCCTGCAGACTGGCAATTTGACACCCCTGTTCTAGGGAATGTCATACGCAATCTTTAGTTGAAAGGAATGGGTCATAAAATCAAATCTTTGTCACAATCATAGACCAGCATAGGAATATAACATAGAATAAAGCATGTGTATATTTGTACACTGCATGTAATGCTGAATTGTTGGTATTTAGATGAAAATATATTGCTTGCAAAGTAGTCTCTAGATTAGAGTAGTATGCCTAGAATGTCATGCATGTACTGGGTAAAACTGGGCTTTGATTGTGCTTATGATTTATCAGCAAAATACACCAAAAATTTAGTATTGTGTCTTGGTTCAGATTAGTGTTGTAATCTACTAATTTCTTATCTTACCAAAAAAAACCCCCACCAATGCTTTGCATAATATTGCTTGCCCCCAAATGGAATAATATGATTGATATATACTGTATATATGTAGTTTAAAAAGAGGAAAACAATTTGATTTAAATGGATATTTACTTGTGGTGTTTTAAAATGAAAGCTATCAAGAAACTATAGCTAACAGATAATATTTTTGAGATAAGTCAATAGAACTAAAATGATTAAGCTTATTAATATTCTTTTTAAATTGTAACTTAGATGCCATTTATAGTAATTATAGATTTATTCTCATTAAAGTAAGCGCTTATCTCGCTTTTTAAAAAGCTACTGTTACTGTTTGCTACTGTAATCAAATAATTGGGAGTTCTGATTTTTGTTTCTTTCCTGGTTCACATATTGTGCTAAGGCTAGCCATGGTTTTCTTAGCCATGGTTTTTTATTAAAGTACAGTTGATTCAGTTTATATATATGCTAAGTCAAAATCAAGTAAATCACATTGTGTTAGTAGAAATTGTTAACCAATTCTTGGTTTCTCATTTAAACATTCTTCATAAAATTAATTGTCAAGAGCGTTTGCCCCCTTCTTTCTGTGCAAGTTTATTTTTAAGCTAATGTATCTTAGTTTCTCTTTATCACTTGACCCAGAAATTTAATTTATAGCATATCAAAAGGGTTGTATTCAAAGAAATTCAGTACAATTCTAAAATAGAATGCCTGCCAAATACAGTTGCAAATAATAATAAAAATATTATTTGTTAAAAAACTTACATTTGTAAAAAAATCATATACCAAAAATGAGAGCATTGTTATAACTACCATGAAAATAATTATTTACAATAAACGTAAGCACGCCTTAAAGTATGTAATGTACATTCTCCTCTATTGTAAAGGAAAATAAAAGACAGAAAAGTCTCCAGCAAATGGAACATTCAGCATTGTTTAATCTTCTGCAGTGTCCATGGTTTGCAAAATTGACTGTGGCAGGAGATAGAACAGAACAGAACAGAACAGAGCTGGAAGGGACCTTGGAGATCTTTTAGTCCAGCTTAAGCAGGAGATCTATACCATTTCAGACAAGTGGCTGTCCAGTCTCTTAAAAATTTCCAGTGATGAAGCACCCACAATTTCTGAAGGCAAGCTGTTCCATTAGTAATAGTTAATTGTCCTCACTGTTAGGAAGTTTCTCCTTAATTGTTTCTCTCCTTGATTAGTTTCCATACATAGTTTCTTGTCCTGTCCTCTGGTGCTTTGGAAAATAATTTGACCCCCTCTTCTTTGTGGCAGCCTCTGGAATACTGCTGTCATTTCACCCCTAGTCCTTCTGTTCTCCAGACTAGCCAAACACAAGTCCTGCAACCATTCTTCGTATGTCTTAGTCTCCAACCCAGCCGGCAAAAAATTATCTTCATTTAATCTCTTGGGGATAGCATTGTTCAGTAATAGAATCCACTTTTTAAAATAAGCATGTCATTATTTCTGCCAAAGTTTCTGTTTTAGATAAGCAAAATTTAGAAGGTTATTTATTTTTTTGCTAGCTTGACCTTGGATGTGGTCCAGTGCTTTTTGGCAAGCCATCAGCTCTTTGTATCTCACTTGTCTTGGGTATCAGCAGTCATGTTCTTATTTGCTTCATTCTAAGCTTTGCCTTTTAACTTCTTAAGCCTTCCATGTTTTATCAATTTTACCAGCATATTCTAAAATAAAGTAATTTATTACTTGGACAATCAACAGAATCTCAAAATTAATTATATCCTAGTGGGCACAGAGGGAAAACTTTGGAAGTTTAAAGAATTCTCTGGGTATCTCCCATTTGAATGGGAGTTTCATCCAAAACATCCTTTAAAATGGGAAAGAAAATAATTTGTTTTTCAAGCCATCATTTCACAATTCTCAAACTGCTTCACTAGAAGTCACATCTGGAGGTACTGTCTGAAAGAAGATTGCTCATGAGGAAGAAGAAGAAAGAAGTTGTGTCTTGGATTTACATTTACCTCCACAGAAATGCAGAAATAGCCATAGTAATAGCAAAGATCATCCTTACATAGTTTCCAGTAAAGTCAACTCTCAGTTTCCTGGTGCAATATATATACACTATTCTCAGAAAATTCTAAGCTAAAATATATGTTGAATCATTCTGTTTTTATTTATTATCTGTTATCCTTTTATCAAATTTATGAAACTTTTTGATTGTTAGCATCTCATACTTCTTTTCAATGTCAGTTCTGTCGCTGACTATGTAGCTTCAAGCATATTTTGATATTCAGTTAAATTCATTCTTGCTTCTCTCCACATAATTAATTCTTATACTTTTGGCTGCCACACAGTCTCTAGGTAGACTAGAACTCCTTGTCTTAATGGTTGGCATGGTGTTATTTTTTTTAAATGCTTCACTCCTTCCTCAAACATACATTTTGTGGTTCTGACCAAATCATCAATGTTAGTTCCATCAGTCCAAAAAATCTGTTTCAAAATATTTCAGACTAATCTAGGTTTTCTGTTACACTATGATACGTAGGATGAGTTTCGAGAAGTTTTCCTCTGAGCACTGTTCCATGCAGATCTTAATGATACAAGCAAGTGAAATAGACAACTACTCCACTGTCAGCTTTTTTTAGCAGATCATTTGCAGAGATATTTGAATTGATTGACCACTTCTAACAAATATTGTTCTTGATCTGCAAGCTCATGGGGCCTAGTTAATGAACAAATTCAAGAGAGTGATCAGAAGTATACGCTTAAATCAACCATAAAGTAATTCCAGAAAAGAGAGGTAAAGAATTTGGAATATCCTTTATAGTTCATAAACTTAAATAGGGATATTTCAAACATAATAGTACTTGCATGATTTAAAAATATTTCAAAATCTGAAGAATTCTGCAAGGAATACTGGGGAAAATGTTTCAAAATCAAAAATAGCTGGCTTTAAGAAAAGTTTGAAAACTGTTGTTTCTATAAAAGGAGATATTATAAATCATTGGGTGTCTAAAGTTTGTCTAAAGGGTGTCTAAAGTTTGCCCCAGCCATATTCAATCTGTAAACAATTCAATATTGTTAAACATGCTTTTAAATTGTCAGAAAAATGTGTTTAACTTGGTATGAAGTTAAAATTGTATCAACATCTACTTACTTAGAGCAGTGGTTCTCAACCTTTCTAATGCCGTGACCCCATAAAACAGTTCCCCATGTTGTGGTGACCCCAAGTGCGTGTGGCCACCAATAAGAGGGAGTAGGACAGCTAGGGAAAAGGGAAAAAAATGGCGGACTGCATTGTTTGGCGACCCCCGTGAAATGGTTGTTTGACCCCAAATGACTTAGAGGTTCATTGTAAAATATAGTTTGACCAGGGCTTCCTAAATTTTACATTAAAGCTAACAGCAGCATTTAGCAACCAACTTAGTGCTGCATCAAAGCTGGCGAGTGGGTTAGAAAATTTGAAAACAAGAATTAGAAATTGGAAAGCTCTCTCTCTCTCTCTCTCTCTCTCTCTCTCTCTCTCTCTCTCTCTCTCTCTCTCTCTCTGTGTGTGTGTGTGTGTGTGTGTGTGTGTTTATTTAATCCCTTAATTTTGGGGGTTATGTCCCAAGGATGTAGGTGGCAGAGCAGCAGTAAGTGGAGAGAATTTTCCAAGTTCGACAAATTCACCCTGCTTAATGTGTAAGCATGCAGAAAATAATTGTTCTATATGAATATCTGTGAGCATTTCCCTTAAAGTAGAAGTGAGGTTGAAATGTTGGTTGAATAGGCCACAAAAAAGAAAATGAAAAGTTTAGACAATATTTCCAAAGAGTCCACACTGTTTCTAATTATAATTTTGTTTAACCAGAAGACTAATTTTTTTAACATTTAAGCAAAATAATATTGCTATTCAGTGTCTGATACTGAAGTAGATCTTGATTCATGCAGCTATTTATTGCCACTCTCCAGATTTTCAATAGTGGTGTTTTCTTATAATACTTGAAAGGTAATGGGAATTAAATATGGGAGCTAATGCATGCACTGTGTGCTTGTGTTAGGGTTTTGCAAAGCAATAGTATGCACCCTAATTCTTTGCAAAGCGTGTTGGCACAGGTAGGACCTGTCTTCAAAGTGTTAAGGTAACAGTCTTCTGGAAGACATGGTGCATCATCTTCTAGGCTTTTTTTTATTTTGCATGCTTATGTGCAGGTGCAAATATGGATGCATAAATCATATTTCTGCTGCAACTGCCAGTGAAGCACAGCAGTTGGGCATGCATGCACATGTGCAGACAGACAGCTGAGGAAAGCCTTCAAAACAGCAGAGCAAGCCTTTTAGAGGATGTGGCTGTTCTGAGGGGAGGCATTTTGCTCATTCCAGTGAACTTTTTTTTTCTTTTTAAGCAAAGGAATTTTTTTGCACAGACCTATTTTCTTACCATTTTTCTGTGATCTTTCTTGTTAGTGGAATAATGCTCTGTTTCTAATTTAATGGAATTAATTCTGAAATGTGTGGACTTCACTACTGTTTGTGTTATATTTTAAAGTCCTTTGGTAAATAAGTATTGTATGTATACAATGCCTTCTGGCAAATCCTTTTCTATAAACTGTAAGGTGGTTAATAAAATGTCAAAATAGTTCATTTCATATAGACAGCTGTTTTGATAGTATTTGAGCCTATGGTGTGATTTATCAATGTTGTACCAAGTCTAATTTAAATAAGACGTTTTTACTGTTTTACAGGATTATATATATCTATATCTTACCTTGAAACACACAATAAGTAGGTCATAGAGGAACTTGTTTCATTTATTTTATGTTTTAATTACTACGAAATTATTTTCAAATAATGTGTTACATTAATATTGAGCGGAACAGTAGCTTCAGCAGATATAGAATGTAGTTCTTGCCTACATTTGTATGCCCAACCTAAATAATTTCTTTTAACTACAATAATTATTTCCCGCACTTCATTATGAAGAGAGTAATTTAGTAGTATATGCAAGTTCAAGACAGTTAATAAACTTAAAACTACATATTCTATTGTATATGATGTCTGATAAAAATGGAAATTTATCCTTGCTGGTTGTGCTATTTCCTGCTTTATACTCATCATAATCATTGTGATAAAGAATTATCCAAAACATTTTTCAATTGGTTTCATCAGACTTATTTCTTAAATATATCTCTACCTCTAATAGCAATTTTAGCAACCCCTCCCCACGTTTTTGGGTTTTGAATGGATGGTACTAGATTCCTCCTTTTTACTTAGAACTTTGAAAATAATGAACAATATTTAAAGTTATTATAAAGCAAGGTGATTTTTACTCCAAAACTAGAGCCTTTTAAGACAAATTACTATTATTCTTACTATTATACTTATTAGATTACTCTAATCAATGGTAAATATTTTCTGATGATAATATGAATAATAATTTGTCTTTTTCATATTTCACCTTGTTCCTTAGTATTCAAAGTTGTTTCTTCTTTTTCCTTGATGAATAAATAATATAATTTGAGCTGTTAATAGAATTCATTTTTGCCCCAAAATGTATATTATATGAATCTGCACCAGCAAGTCTCTCCCTCCCTCTCTGGGAAATAGAGAAAATTTTATCTTCTTATGATCCTGTAATTTAAATCTCATGCTTTACCACTGAAAATCTGCTGTAGAAGAAGAGGCAGAGCCTGGGGCCCAGTGCCAATTTGGTGCTGACCATTAGTTCACTAGATTCTTGTGTATAGGCTTGAGCAATAAATCTTAACTAGAACTTAACATATGGTCCTGATTTTTTGCACTTGACATCTGCTCATGCAATTGGAGTTTTCCTTTTCCCTGTACCACATCCACCCACTAACATTTTCCCAAAGGTTCATCCAACCACTGAAGCTGTTTTACTGGGAATGTACCCAGAGATAAGGGGGAAAAAGAGGGAACTTGATTTGCCAGTTCGTGTCTGCTTTATTTCCCTCTTACTTTATTATACATTCTGTTCTACAAGGCATGTTTTCTATATCTTTATCTCAAACTAATATTACAGTCGTCTAATGCAGCTATAGAAGCTGATGTTATACTGTAATAAAAGACATTGTGAGACTTTTTGTTGGTTTTTCTGCTACATTTTTCTATTACTATTTATGTGTGCCTTTGACTCCTGGTGACTGCCTAAATAAGTCCCTGCAGTCTGGCAAGAATTTGGAAGTGGTTTGCCATTGTCTGCTTCCTAGGGTTAAGAGAGCATGATTTTCCCAAGGTCATCAGCTGACTTTCCACCTAAGGTGGGACTAGAACTCGCAGTCTTCCAATTTCTAGCCCAATACCTTAACCCCTACATCAAACTGGCTGTCATTAACACAATTATCTCTCTTTATTTTGCTTTCATTCTTTGTAACTTTTATAATATATAGCCCTTTTTTGCGTAGTGTTTCTGGGTGCTTTTCTAAATTGATGATTTAATGAACTGTATAAAACCTGGGTAATATATCAAAAAGTTATATTGCTCCTTAAAATAGTGATATGGAATATAATACAAGATACCTTTTTGTTTTGTACAATATTTTACTATTACTAAAGTTTGGTTCTGTCTTGCCTGTTTACTGTGTAATGTGGACTTTACATTTTCCCATTTTTCTTCTCAGCTTTGGCAAGCAATCTGGAGGAAAACGAGGTTGTGAATGCATTGTGTTGGAACCTTCAGAAATGATCGTGGTAAGGACTATTCTTTGAAATAATTGCTTGAGGAAGAAAAGAATTACTCATTTTACGTTCTTGTGGCCATGGCTACAGAAAGTTCTCCCATGAATCTGTGCTTTTCACTGATTTATTCTATTTTCTATTAGTAATTTCTTACATAACATTGAATATTTTTAAAGCATTTAGCTTTCTGATCCATGTAAGTTCTTCCGGTATTACTGATTGATTCAACTATTTCATCATGTCTTGAATTTTGGATACTCTGCTTACAAAGATAGTGGAAAGGCAGTGGTGTATACATTTTTACGTCTTTCAAGAAATGTGTGTGAAAAAAGTAATGTTTGTATGCACTGGAAGAGTAGTGGAAGGGTAGGAAGTATTTAATTCTATCAATCTGAAATTTTACATCTTAAAAAAACTAACACCACATTGATTTTTAAGAAGAATGTCACTTGAATTTTGTTTTGTTTTGTATAGCATATGCTACTATGTGCAGTATCTAGAAAACATTATTCTATAAAATTTAAGGCAATCATACAGTTACAAGACTTTTCTAAACTTTTTTTTATTATGTTTGTAGTTTTATAGTTCTGGCAATATCTGAAGGAAGCAGGTGGATGTAGTTCTATAGTTCTTGATAACAATTCATTGTGTTTGTTTTTCTGGTAACAACCATGCTTAATATTTTGCTTTCAGATTACATAGCCTCTATTTGGAATTTTGCTATGATGTAGTCACATAAGATCCTGAAAACAATGAAGGCTTCTACCAGTGCACAAAATAATAGTCTATGAGTCATGAAGATTCTTAGAGCCCTAATTTTTCATACTCATATATTGATCCTGAAGATGTTTTTAGCATTTTGTGAGTTTTAGACAAATAGTTCTAATCAGGCTGACTACTAGAAGTGAACTTGAATAATATTAAGCAATAGAATGATCTTGGGAAAAGTATTTTAAATATTATTATAGCAAATGATGATGCATCTGAAGGACAGACATTAGCATATATAAGATGGAAGGATCTATGTCTGTGTCTGTGTGTCGTGTGCGTACCTTAAGAAATTAGTACCTATTAAGCAGACAGTGACAGAATGCGTCATAATTCTGAATATGTGGGGTAAGAAACCTGGCAAGAAATACTGTATGTGGTTAAAGATACTGGACTGACATCAAGGACCTAGATTTGAATTTGCTCTCACTGACAGAAATTCACTTGGTGAATTTGGTCCAGTTCTTCTGTCTTTGTCTAATGAAGCGGTGAATGCTCCAACACTGGAAGTTTTTAAGAAGAGACTGGACAGCCATTTGTCTGAAATGGTATAGGGTTACCTGCCTGAGCAGGGGGTTGGACTTGATGACCTCCAAGGTCCCTTCCAGCTTCATTATTATTATTATTATTATTATTATTGATCATCGCACAGTCAGCCAGATGTTCAGACTGGATTTGGCATTTTGTCTACCTATCGAGTCCGTTACCCAGGACCTGGGATAGGCAGATGTGAATGTTTGATGGTATTAAGGTATCGTCGCAGGATGGAAGCAGTTCCTAGCAAGGCCGCCTTTTGCAACAATTGACTAATAGCGAATTTGTCAATGCCAATGGTGTTCAAGTGATGCTCCAGTTGTTTTGGGATTGCACCCAAGGAGCCTATCACTATTGGTACTACCCTTGCTTGCTTTTGCCACAGTCTTTCTATTTCTATTTGTAGGTCTTTGTATTTTGTTATCTTCTCCAGTTCTTTCTCTTCTATTCTGCTGTCTCCAGGCACTGCCATTATTATTATTATTATTATTATTATTATTATTATTATTATTATTATTATTATTATCCATCTTCACAGGGATGTAGTTAGACTGATGCTTGAAAGTTTGTGAACCCTTTTAAATGTTCAACATTTCTCTGTAATATTACCTAAAATGAGATCTGTTCTCCATACATATTTAAAAATAGATAAAAAGAACCCAATTAAATAAGTCAAAAACGTACGTATTCATTTATTTATAGAGGAAAATGATCCAGAGTTACATACTTGTGTGTGGCAAAAGTATGTCAACCTTTACTTTTGCTAACTGGTATGCCCACATTGGGCAGCAATAATTGCAGCCAAACCTTTCCCGTTACTGTTGATCAGTCCTGCACATCAGCTTGGAAGAATTTTAGTCCATTCCACCTTATAGAACCCCTTCAACTCTGGGACAGTGGTGGGCTTCCTCTCATGAATTGCCCATTTCAGGTCCTTTCACAACATTTCCATAGGATTAAGTTTGGGACTTTGACTTGGCAATTTAAAAACATTAACTTTCTCCTGGTTCACCCATTCACCCGTGGTATGACTTTTGGGCTTTGGGTCATGGTCTTGCTGCATGTCCCACTTTTCTCTTGAGTTTCAGTTCACAGACAGGTATCCTGACATTTTCTTGTAGAATTTGCAGGCACAATTCAGAATTCATAGTTCCATCAATGATGGTAAGCTGTCCTGGTCCAGGCCCAAACCATGATACTGCCACTGCCACGTTTTATAGAAGGCATAAGGTTCATATTGTTCATATTAGTAAAGTTGGAGGGGACCTTGGAGGTCATCTAGTCCAACCCCCTGCTCGGGCAGGAAACCCTACACCATTTCGGACAAGTGGCTGTCCAGTCTCTTCTTAAAAACTTCTAGTGTTGGAGCATTTACTGCTTTTGGAGGCAAGCTGTTCCACTGAATGGAACTTATGCTGGAATGTAGAATTTATCTTTCACCAAACATACTGCTTTTCATTTAGGTCAAAATGTACTATTTTTATCTCATCTGTCCACAGTACATTCTTCTAGTAGCCTTCTGCTTATCCATGTAGTCATTCTCATGTGGCATCAGTGTTGTTTTTGGAAACTAGTGGTTTTCTCCTTGTGACCCTGCCATGTACAGCATTTTGTTTGCTGCTAGCCTGATGGTGGCCACATGAACACTGAAATTTCTCCATGAAACTTTTATTATAAGATTTTAGAATTAACTATATAAAATAAATAGCTTTTCATGGGAACCAGAATTATTTTGTGTACTGTAAGTCATGATAAAGTTTAGAGATCTTATGATTTAAATTGGACACTAAAGAGGAACTAAAGTGTAGGCAAAATGCCTTTGGTTTTGATTAGAGTTAGGATTTTTAAAATCACACAAACACTATAACATTTGAAATACTAAAGACAATCTATCATGTAAACCAGCCAGTAGACCCGACTAGATGAGCTAATTCTATTTTATTATAAGGTTATATTAACAGAATCTTGCATGGCTGAAGATACAAATCTCCTGCTGCCACTTTTAACTGCTGGATCAATTAGGGCGAACATTCTTTGGTCTTTGAGGAATTGAGCAAGATTGTTATAGCTACAATAACAGAATCAATAACTGTCTTTCTGAATGCATCATTTAAGAGCGATCTAAAATAAGAGATCAAAGAAAAGATGAAAAATAACTGAAGGATCTGCAGAACAACTAAGTAGAGAAGTGAGACCAAGTCAAGATGGAAATTTGAAAAATAGAAATAATAAACCCAGAAGATGTACAACTATTAAGTCAAGAGATGAAAAAGATTCAAATAATTGAGAAAGAATCTTGTTTGACACCCAGAGTACTTACAGAACAACTTTGGAGAAAATTATAAGTAGATAGCTATTGAAGCCTTAAGAATTTTTTTTTTTTAAGATGGGAGGAAGAAAATATGGATAGCGATTAGGTTCTACAGCAGCATTTTAATGTCAAATTAACAATTAATAATCACAGTTTACTACAGAAGAAAAAGGAATACAAAATTGACTTGTTTGATTAGAGATGAGGCAATAATAAGCACATTTACAAAATACTAAAAATACTTTATAGACTTTTTGCTGAAAATGGATGGGACACAGCTGATTTTTGGATCTACCACTCAAAAAGCATTGGATCTGGGAAGAAATGTAATGTAATCTCCAAGGGAGGAGGGGTGATGTTATATCTCTTTCTATGAAGAAGATTTGGAGTCACTTAAATATACTTTCCTTCACATGTTCCTTTTCTATTTTTCTGCACTTTCTCTTTTTCTTCTCTATCTTATTTTGTATTATTCTTTTTTTATGTAAAAAGTTTTTATTTTCAATTTTACAATACATTACATTCTTAAAAATACTTCAGATAAAAAATAAAACAAATTGATACACACCACTTTCGGTATTGCTCACCCATTTCCCCCCAAACCGCATCCACCCTCTAACCAACTTGCCTCTTCCCTCTTCTTCCTCTTCCTTACTCACCCCCTCTCCTTCTTCTCTTCAACCTTCCTACTTGCTTGTCACCTTCTTCTATCTTCTCACTCCGGATGCGGTCCAGGGGAAATGCCCGAGCAATTCCTCTCTCCAAATTGAAACATCAATATTATATACAATAAAACTATTTCTACTTATCTGAACTACTTAAACTTCAACCCATCCTCCCCCCACCCCCCTCCCCCCTCCCCCCACCCCTCCCCCACCCCCTTCCTCCCGACTTCCCAGAGCAAAGTACAGGGTTATACAAACATATTAAACATAATCTATTTAAGTTTACTAATAATACAATAACCAAAATCATACTAACCCTTAACTCTCTTCAAACTTTAACATCATAAGTTTATAAACAAATTCATTACTCATAAAATAAGTGAAACTTTGTAGTTCCATACTTCTTCTGAACATATTCTATCCATCTTCTCCATACGTTAAAATATCTCTCTTGTGAATGGTCCTTTAAATAAGCAGAGATTTTGGCCATTTCTGCTAAATTAGAAACCTTAAATACCCATTCTTCTAAAGAAGGCAGAGTATCCTTCTTCCAATATTGACCCACCAATAATCTTGCTGCTGTTATTAAATTCAACATTAAGATAGTTTCTTTAGCATCAAAATCCACAAAAATACCCCCAAAAAACAACTGGGGAGCAAGCTTAATCTTCCTTTTAAAAAACCTTTTGAATGTTCCACCAAATCATAATCCAGAAGGCTTTAATATTTTTACAAGTCCACCAAACATGAAAATAGATTGCGTCCAAGCAACCACATCTCCAACATTTAGGTTATATTATATAATATTATATATTATATTATATATATGTTATATCTCTTTCTATGAAGAAGATTTGGAGTCACTTAAATATACTTTCCTTCACATGTTCCTTTTCTTTTTTTCTGCACTTTCTCTTTTTCTTCTCTATCTTATTTTGTATTATTATTTTATTATTTTTAAAATATTTAATAAAATTTATTTTAAAAACACAAAATAGTTTTGGAATCTTTCCCAGCCTGCTGAGCATCCGTCAACAGTTTTTCAGAGATTTTCTCAGATACCTCCTTTATTTGAGTCACGACTCAGTAGAACATACTTGCATTGTGAAGGTTAGACAGTGATAGTGAATACCCCAAACTCTATTCTTAAACAAGTCAGGGTCTCCCATACTCACATCTGGTTATCATCTCCTTACTGAAACACCTTAATTTCCCTTTCAAATGAACTGAAAACCTTAGAGGTTCATGTACTTCTGTGACATGCAGCTTTGGATCATTTTCCTCAATAAATAAATGAACAAGTATAATGTTTTAACTTATTCATTTAAGTAGATTCTCTTTAACTGGTTTTAGGTCATATTTATGCAGAAATAGCAAACATTCAAAGGGGTTCACAAATTTTTAACCGCCACTGTATATTTGTAAATAATGCTAAGTTTTAAATTAATTAATTAAAACATCTGTATGGCCACCAAAGTTAAACACAACTCTGGGTGGCTCACAACAATAAAATAAATAATTATAAACTCATAAACTATAAAATTAAAAAACAACAAACCTAGCATCTCAACCATTCCTTTGGGATTCCCAACAATCAGGTTTAGATATCCCTATTCTGTCCCAGCACCAGAGTGAAAAAAAAATCACTGGGATGAGGATTGTTCCATAAGGTAAGGGAAGCTATGGAAAAGACACACTTTCAAAGTCCCACTAGATGGCAAGATTTCATTGAAGGCACCTCGAGTATACCTATTCTGTCCTATCTGGTAGGATGGGTAGCTAGCTACTCATCCCATCCTACTAGAAAGGCAGTTCTGCCTGTATATTACTTTTCGCTCCTGAATGAAAGATGGAATGTCTAATATTTACTTATCTAATAAGTAAATAACTACTTAGGTATGAGCTGAGAGTGAAGGTAAGAGAATATATGAAATACAAATATACTGTTGAAGACATAAATGAGAGGAACATGGAATGAGAACATTGCATATCATATTTTCAAGTGTGTGTTTGTGTATTTTTCATAGTGTTACAAGTTTGTTTTGATAGTATAAAAATTACAAATCGATAAAAGAACAAGTACACAGATAGGCATACAACCTGAGAATTTGCTGGAAGAGTTCTTTCATGTTTTTTTGACATTGGGGTTTTCCCTGCAAGGCAAGGTATTATTAATTGGAAATTACTACATTTTCAGTGTTCACTAAGCATAGAATCAGAGTTAGAAGTGATTTTCTGACTCATGTAGTTCAATCTTCTTTTGAAACTTTTGAAACAGAATTATAGTCCTAATATCATCTCTGATAATTGCCAATATTCCCTTTCTCAGAGGTTTTGTAAAAGGATCAACAGCATATGATGTGTGTGATGTGTTAAGTAAGCTGTATTTTGCAACCTTATTTTTATGTTGTATTTTCTTTTCAACTCTGGGCTCTGTTGTAGCAACCAGAATAGCCTCTTGCATGACATTATGACAGCATGTTGTATAGCATGAGAACTAGCCTGAAAATAACTATAGGCACATCTGCGATGTTATTTAGAATTAAATAAAAGAATGAGTAATTTGTTGGATTAAAAGTTTTCTTTTTTTAAATAAAAGAAGAGTATGATTTGCTTGAATAATTTACACAATTAATAGATATTATTTATATTTACAGACTTCTAGAGAAAGCACTTGTATCTTGTAATGTCAGTGTCTTCTCTGATAAATGGATAAATATATTGCTGTTGTCATAAATGGATCAATTCATATATTTTTTCAGTCTTTTTCAAAGATTTGCATTTTTAAGATTCATTAACTTAGTAGAAGTCATTTAGGTGTCTGTTTAATTCACTATTTGAAATCAGTTATTTCTGCATATGCTAACTCTGTGGCTATCTAATAATGGTTTCAAAAATTAAACCATACAGTAATTACAACAAAACACAGAACTCTCTTTAAATTCCAGTGTGAAAGGCTAGGCATGATAATTTTTCTCTGTTTTGGAAATATATAAATACATTTACTTTTGGTCTTTTAAATTTTCATATTACAGAACATTGAAGGAAAGCTTATGTTGAAATTATTTTTTTATATATCTGCATATCTTTTATACATATTTAAATTATCTCATGTCTTGTTTTGTTAGTTCTTTGTATATATGTGTTTGTCTCCATTCTTTCCGGCTGAGATTTCCAAAGGAAATGTGAATGTAGAGTTTCTTTTTATAGCATGAATGAACATGAAAAGGAAGAAGTTATCAACCTTGCTCAAATTTAGTTTAAAACTTTCATGATTTGTTTGTAATGAAACAAGTTAGAGGCAGTACTCCAGCTTTAAATGAAGTGAATCTGATATGTTTTTATTAATAGGCTTTACAAATATAACTGTTTGTAGCAAACAATAATAAATAACTGTCATAGTAGTACAATTTATTTTTCTCTAGGTAGCCATTTTAATGTATATAAAACTATTCAAATACAGTGAACAGTTTTTATAGATATGTAGCGTTACCTAGGTTTTTTTTTCTTTTTAAACAACGCTGTTTCCCGGAAGGAAACTGTGGCCTCTCAGCTCATTGTAGTGAGTAATTGAAGAAGTGTTGCTTTAGTTTCAGGAACTTGTGTAGATTTCTTATGACACAGTCACAGTATTAACTCATGCTGAGCCTGTCTTCATGAATTTTTTAAAATTACATAGACTTTCAATGATATGGAAGAACTGGATGTTTAATCAGGATCCTGAACATGTGTTCCAGGTAGATAATTCAAAAGAGAATGAAGACAATATCTTGCAAAGGGAAGTGCCTCTTCGACAATCTCGCCGGAGGTTTCGGAAGATTAATCAGAGGGGAGAACGTCAGACCATCACAGATAATGTGGATGTTAGTAGCTACCTTTCAGTGAGTGCATTTCTTATACCCTTAATTATCTACCCACCTGTATTCATCGCTCTCTGTGTTTGATTTTCTATTGGTACAAATGAAGAGATATATAAAATTGCAAAATGGATTTTATAAATTTGGAATCATAGAATGTTATTAAATACTTCAAAGCAACTGTAGGTTTCTCAGATTCATTCTAATGCTCTATAAACTCTAAAGATCAACATTGCGGCAGTTTAGTACTTTTGGACAATGAACTTTTACACTGAAATGTGTTTGGATATATTTTGTGGAAGTTTAGCTACCATGAAGAAAGTTCATGCTTAGCACGGTAAGTCATTTGTTTGTCAAATGAGCTATAATTTCAATTTAATAATGTACTTTTTTTCATCCTAGTTTGTAATGTTTTTCAGCAGTGTACAAAAACATTAACTTCTGACAAATTGTAGTGAACTTCCAGGATTATTTACCTTCCATCAACCTAACTAAGAGACTCAAAAGCTAGTTTTAAAATTGCTTAGACTGATCAGGAATAAAATTAGGCAAATCTTTATAAATGTAATTAACAAAATGTTAAAACTGATTAAAAAAACAGGAATTCCCCATATACTACGGCAGACGAAAGATTGAAACTGCCTTCTCTTTCAAGCCATCTTTCCTCCCCCCTTTCTTAGGTTGTTCTAGAGATTGATTTATAGAATAAGAAAACACTTGCTTTTAGTCTTTGTTGCAGATGTTAGAAGTTTGCTGATTGTTCATATTTCAAGAAGAACGTTTCATAAGGGGGAGGTACTTTTTAATGTGCATTTTTTTCTCACTGTAATGCATAGAATATTTCTTCATGAATGTTTTAATGATCGTTGATCATTAAAGGTATTAAAGGCATATTGAAGGTGATGCAAATTTATTCAGTTATTTGTATATTATATTCCAGTCTTTCAGCAGTAGCTGATAATTCCTTTTTTACTTGTGTAGATTACATTTATATTCTCCATTTCTTCTAATATAGGCCCACCACCATTTGGGCTGTTAGGCATTTGTTGCATTAGGAAAATATGTTCTGGGTGCTCTGCTAAAACAGCTTGCTTGTTTACAAAAAAGATATTTTCAAATAAAGCACTGAGTTGAAGCTGTCAATCTTTTTCATTTTCTAAAGAGAAGTCATAGGGCTATTTTAAAATCTAGAGGAATTTTTGGAAATAGGGTTTGCTGGTTATTGGTTCTTTGCTTTGCAGTATTCCAGCTTCTGAAAGGGGGAAGATTTCAAAGTACACACAAATTAAGAAACATGTGGATTGTTCAATCACTGCAAGAGAATTCCAGAACTTTAGAGCTCATCCAGAAACGTCCTACCTTTGTTAGATACCATTAATATTCTAAAAAGGGGCACATTGATACAGGCAAAAACAATTTTGAAAATTATCTTGGTCCATTTAAAACTGCTTTTTGGTTTCAAGTCCTCAAATTTCAAATTTGTTCATTGATTAAAAGAATAGAAAGGATATAAATATGTTTTTCTCAGGCTTCCCAGAGTTCTTGCACATAGGGTTGGAATATAAATATTGTTAAGTAAATAAATAAAAACTAATTTCTTCCAGAACTGGGATTCACCAAATTTCCAGTGAGTTGCAGTACTATACGTTATTAAACTTGCTAGGTTAGGAAAAGCTTCTTTGACTATATAGCTGACATTAGTTTAAAGTCACACTAGATGAAATATTCAATCATCTGTTATTCAGATATTTTTATAATTTAGATTATAATAAAGGAAGTTATGAGATTTGTGTGGTATTTGCTTTCATTGAGTGATGCATTGATAGGAAGGTATACATATGTACTTTATGTACTAAATAATATCTTTATGTACCAATTAATATATTAAATTGGATATGTATAATGAATAATACACTAGATAATTTCAAATAAGTTACTACATTAGGATTACATCCCATCCATCCATCCATCCATCCATCCATCCATCCATCCATCCATCCAAGCTATGATTGTTATATTCTGGCAAAACATTTTAAAAACAATAAAAGATGAGAAGTTTAAAAATGTTTTAATATGTTAAGATATTAAAATGCTAAGATTTTTTTCCTTGAATGCATTTTATATTTTAAATGTGCTTTCTCAATAGCTCTGTATATGCAAAAATAGCGTTTCGCTGTTGGTTCTTGTTTTGCTCCTGTTCGTATTACTACATATAAATTAGATTTATGTTACGTTTCCTTTATTGGTTAACTTACTAAAAGACATTTAATTTTAATAGCATTGCAGGCTTTAAGAAAAGGATTGTGAAGGTAAACAGAAATTATTCCTAGAAGAAAAGTTACAAGTGGCGACAATATTTTGTTTACAAAAAGAGAGAATGAGGGAGGGAAGGTGGAGGAAAGAAAGAGAGAAAAGAGAGAAAGAAAGTAAGAAAGCGAACAAGAAGCAAATTTAGGGTGTGATAAAGATGTATAAAATTATGAACAATGAGAAGTAGCTCAGTGCATAATCGTTGTTTGTGTTACCGGCAGTTTTAAGACATGTTATATAATCATTTTCAAATAAGGTGATTTCTTATAATATAGAATAAAACTGTTGAACTTATGCTCTTATGATAACTTAGTAATTGCTCTTTCATGGGTAATTTATTTCAATTTTCTTCATTTCAGTTGACCTATTCTTAGCTTTATTGTTAAAAAATACCAGGTTTTTTTTAACTCACCATGTATTTTTGAGAAAAAAATGAGAAAAGAAAAACGTTCTTTTTATTTTCCTTCCAAAATCTTTTTGCGTCATCTCATGTTCTTGTTCACCTGAGGTCTCAACATGTAATTAAAAGGACTTTAGTTGTATACCAGTTATATACCAGTTCAGGCTTTTATTTGTGATTTGTGATAATGTTGCATTACTAAAACACATTTAATTTTAATAGCATTGCAGGCTTGTAAGAGAAGGATTGTGAAAGTAAACAAAAACCACTTCCCATGATCTTGATTCTATCCCTTTGTTAATGCTAGGCTGCATTAACAGAGGGATAGAATCAAGATCACATGAAGTGTTAATACCACTTTATAATGCCTTGGTAAGGCCACACTTGGAATACTGCATCCAGTTTTGGTCACCATGATGTAAAAAAGATGTTGAGACTCTAGAACAGGGGTTCTCAACCTTGGCAACTTTAAGACTTGTGGACTTCAATTCCCAGAATTCCTCAGCCAGCAAAGCTGGTTGAGGAATTCTGGGAGTTGAAGTCCACAAGTCTTAAAGTTGCCAAGATTGAGAACACCTGCTCTAGAAAGAGTACAGAGGAGAGCAACAAAGATGATTAGGGGACTGGAGGCTAAAACATATAAGGAACGGTTGCTGGAATTGGGTATGTCTAATTTAATGAAGAGAAGGACTAGGGGTGACATGATAGCAGTCTTCTAATATCTCAGGGGCTGCCACAAAGAAGAGGGAGTCAAGCTATTCTCCAAAGCACCTGAAGGCAGGACAAGAAGCAACGGATGGAAACTAATCAAAGAGAGAAGCAACCTAGAACTAAGGAGAAATTTCCTGACATTTAGAACAATTAATCAGTGGAACAACCTGCCTCCCGAAGTTATGTATGCCCCAACACTGGACAACATTTGTCTGAAGTGGTATAGCAGGGGTATAGACTAGAAGACCTCCAAGGTCCTTTCCAACTCTATCACCATCATCATCATCATCATCATCATCATCATCATCATCATCATCATCATCATCATCTCATTAAAATGACCTTCAAATTTGTTTATAAAAGACATAATTGTTATGAAGTAATTTCCCACATAGCATAAAAATGGTTATTTACTTCAGATGCCATCTTCAAAAATTTCAATTGTTACTTAAGTGTTCATAAGGAAAAAAGTGTTTGTTTGAATTATATTGTATATAACAAAACATTGCATGGAATGCTGCAAAATTATATGCTTGAATATCTTCTATTGATTGAGAGGAGTGGGTAGAGCCCTTCAATATTTTTTTTTAACATGCTTGCAGACTGATTTAGCATTATATATGGAGAGCTGATAGTCCTGTCTGTCATTGTGGTGTTAACTGATGTCATCTGTTTACAGGAAGCTGCTTTTCTAGCTGAATGCCAGATTACTGATTCAAAAGCAACATAACTGATATAAAAAGCCACCAAGAAAGAATAGGCAGGCTCATCTCATTGACAAGTTAATAAGTAATTCTCTCTCCTTTTAGAAATATTGATCATTAAATCATTTTTAAAAAGTTGGGTAGTTGTTACTAGAACAGAAAAGACAAGCTTGGCTTACATTTAAATTAATCATTAAAGAGCAATGGCATGCTCCATTTTTACTGTTGGAGATACCATGATTTCATCAATTTTAATATGTGACTAATGTTACATTTATTTTAGTTCATTACTCATTAAGAAGCTTTCTAATTCTTAATGCATATTTACATTCCTTGAGAGAGCAAATTCAATCACATTGATTCAAATATATTGAAAAAAATGGAATATCTTTATTGTTGTGTATTCCAGATTGTTAGTCAAACTATTATATATAGAGGCCTTGGACTATCTGAGCTTGGCTGTTTGCTTGAGGAAGTTTCATTACCAACTGAAGTAACATTATATTACCTGGTTGTGTAATGAAATGTCTGCAAACAACCAGACACACACAGAGAGCACCAAGGACTCTACAGTGGAACCCTGAGCTGTATTCTCTTCTGTTTAAACATGTTTCTTATCTTCACAAATTATTTGAAGTGTTCAGTTCATAACATGCAAAAAGTAGTCCCATTCTCAATGTGAGGCCTGAGGCAACATCAATAATACAGTGAGGGAGAAAATTATTTGATCACCTGCTGATTTTGTATGTTTGCCCACTGACAAAGAAATGATCAGTCTATAATTTTAATGATAGGTTTATTTTAACAGTGAGAGACAAAATAACAAAAAAATCCAGAAAAACGCATTTCAAAAAAGTTATAAAATGATTTGCATTTTAATTAGTGAAATAAGTATTTGA